TCTATGTATTTTTTTTTAATAAACTAAGTCATACTTCTGTTTGGAGAAACAACATACCGAACCATGTGTGTTTCTTTTTTGTCAGATGTTTACTTTTCCAAGCTTCCCTGGAGTCAGGAGTGTCCATGTGACACATTCCTGGACACTGAGATACAAGAAAATCATGCTGAAAGTTTCTCAAAAGTCAGCATTGCCTCTTTCTCATTCTTGTTGCCTTAAACATGGATATGATACCTAGTGTTGAAGCAAAATTGTATAAAGAAAAAAATTCTGCAAATCACCGTATGAAGAAAGAGTTTTGATGACAATATAAAGGTTTTGAAGTAACCCTTAGACTGTTTATTTCTAGATTTCTGGTTAGGAAAATGATGAATGTCTTATGATCTAAGACACTTTATGCACAATTTTAGTTCCTTGCAGCTGAATGCACTGCTCAGTGGTGATTCTCAAAGAGTTTTCAAAGTACAGTAACAAGGCGAGGATGTGTGACCCACATGTCAACCTATGAATAATCTTAAATCAGGAAAGCAAGTGCTATTTATTTCTCTACCTTTCAAAAGTTAGCCTATAATTTCTTCATTATCAGAAAGCACTTTTAAAAGTGAGACAATGTACTTTGTCCAAGTACATTTTACCAAGTACATTTTATATTTCTGAGATATTTGCAAACATTCTATATTTATACATAGAAATGATTTTGTTACATAAAAATAATTGAAGGACAGACAGATGAAATATGTTCAGAAATACATCCTTCAGGGACGCCTGAGTGGCTCAGTGCTTAAGCATCTGCCTTCAGCTCAGGGCATGACCCCGAAGTCCTGGGATCGAGTCCCACATTGGGCTCCCCACAGGGAGCCTGCTTCTCCCTGTGCCTCTGCCTGTGTCTCGTGAATAAATAAATAAAGTCTTTTAAAAAAAAAGAAATAAATCCTTCAACAGATAATATTTCTAGATGAAAAACAATATTTATAATTATTGTGATTGGTAAAAATGTTACTGAGTAATTGAAAACAGTTAATGTCCTTTCAACAACTATAAATTGTTTTCACACTGAAAGATTTCCAAATCAACAATATATACATAAATCTTACTACTCAAAAAGTAAATAATATGTTCTAAGTATTTCGGGATGTCCTTAAAATAAATGCTGAAAAAATGTGGAAATATTCGCATTTGTCCCTTATCCCTCCACAAATACATAACATAAGCAAATATTTCCACATTTAAATATAAATATTGGGGATCCCTGGGTGGCGCAGCGGTTTGGCGCCTGCCTTTGGCCCAGGGCGCGATCCTGGAGACCCGGGATCGAATCCCACGTTGGGCTCCTGGTGCATGGAGCCTGCTTCTTCCTCTGCCTATGTCTCTGCCTCTCTCTCTCTCTCTGTGACTATCATTAATAAATTAAAAAAAATTAAAAAAAAATCTTTAGGGGATCCCTGGGTGGCGCAGCGGTTTAGCGCCTGCCTTTGGCCCAGGGCGCGATCCTGGAGACCCGGGATCGAATCCCATGTCGGGCTCCCGGTGTATGGAGCCTGCTTCTCCCTCTGCCTGTGTCTCTGCCTCTCTCTCTCTCACTGTGTGCCTATCATAAATAAATAAAACAAAAAAAAAAAAATTTAAAAAAAAAAAATCTTTAAAAAAAATAAATAAAAAAAATAAATAAATATAAATATTGCACACATTTGTATCTGCTCCCAATGCACACTGGAATACAGTTGATATTACGGTATTTAAGTGATTATGGGCACAATACACTTCGTAATTTTTAGATTCCAGAAAGGAAATTTTATTACTATAATGACTTTGGAAATCTGCAAATAAATATTTAGGATTTATCAAAACTTTAATTCCATCTATTCTGAATTTAGGCTTTTCAGATAAATATTTGAGATTGTAGCTAGCAAAAAAGTTAGAGTTTTCAGTTGTTCGTTACTTTTGAAACTTGGTTAGAAATATTTTAATGAAGTTATATTTCCCTGTATAATTAAGTAATATCATGACAAGAATTTATAACTTTATTCTTGTTAGTCTGTGAATCTCTTTGAATATGATACAGAATGTTTTAAACTTTTATAATGTAAAGAAATTATATTTCAATGAAGTTATAACAACTCTGAAATATAACAACTTAATGGATTTTAATACGAATACAATATTTAAGCCTCAATTATTCATTATTTGGGAAAGTAGATTAAAAGAGATAAAGATAACAATCTGTGGTTTTCACAGAGCACTTTTTTGATGACATTGGTAGAGTAGTATGATAATTCATAATAAAAGAAAATGAAACTATGGGTTTCCTTCTCAACAAGAGATAAGACAAATAGTACTATAATTTTAAAAATAACTATTTATATACATTATTGAAGAGATATACATTGTCATTGTGAAAAATAATGTACTTCAAAAAAGGATTAAGAATACTTAAGAAAAGTATTGCCCAAAATAATAAATTTGGAGAAATGGGGGGATAAAAAGCAGATTTCCATATTACAATATATATAATTTTAATTTGTTCCTGCAGTTACGGAGAGTCTGGAAAGAAAGTTCTTTTTAATAAATTTCATTTATGTTTTATAAATGTATAAATTCTATTTTGTGGTTATCCTGTGGATATATTTGATGCTATGGTGGCAATTTTTTAGGGGAAAAATTCCAAATTCTCCTCAGGAAATGTCTCAGGGGAAACTATAAAATATTGATCCCTTCTCATTTATTTCTTCTGCACTTTAAGCCCTTACTTTAGTTAAACCATGTATAATATGATATACAAAAATAAAATGATCATTGCTGACTTTTAGTTGCAAGATCTGAATGACAATCCCTGACTCTTCTCCTTTACTACACTTGGGGGGTTAGGGATTGGAAAAGTTCTTATCCAAACCCAGTAATTTACATACAGATCTTTCAAGATGAGAGATTCAATCAGATAAAAATGAGTTTTCAATTGGGATTGATAAGAATGGGCATGCAATTAAAACAAGCTCTTAATCATTTTCATTATGAAGTTAAAAAAAAAAGAAAAAATAGACCATAAATGTCATTATCAAATGAACAGAGGGAAAAGCAAGGCCTTCATGATAGGGAGTTACGTGACAGGGCCTCTTAGATTTCTTTTCTTCTCAAACAAGCCCTCACGCAAGGAACAAAGAAGCCAATGCCTTTCCTCCCGTCTCTCCCCTTGTCCCTACTGTTTTTAATAATGTACGTCTGACGTGCTAACAATCAAGCACATGTTTTTTTATTGTTGTCTGATCTCAGCTGTCTGATAAGGGCTTAAGAGGAATGATGAGTGGAATCACACATCGAGGGCCTCCTTTGTTGACAGTACAACCAGGGGTGTACTTCCAATTTGCAGTTTGGTGCCGCAGCTTCAGAAGTGCCACATTTGTTTGATGCCCGCTTGGTGCTGTGCCATTAATCTACCATACTCAGGGGTCAACTGTTCCAACGACGTGTGAGTAAGGAATTAAAGATATGGACTTCACAGAAGTTTGTGAAAAATAAAGAGAAACAGTTTGTTTCCCAGGTTGTTTTTTTTTTTTTAATCTCCAGACACAAAATAATAAAATACCACTCTGCAAAAATCTAAGTGTACCATATGATATGTACATACGTTCTATACCATCTATATTTAGCCTAAAAGAGGTTTGATGTTTTCCATAATGAATGAAGAAGTCAATCTGTTCTATGTTGTACCATTTGGAATTAATCCAAGACCAATTACTTTCCATATTATTCTCACAAACCTTCTGCAAGTCGAACTCTTCTTTTGGGGAAAAGCACATCTTCTCAACTGTTTATCCCTTTTTGAACGGAAGCGTGTGTTACCTGAGTAATAATTTTTTAAAAACGTATTTAAAATATAAACTGTAGAATTTGACAAAACTTTTTTAAAAGTCTATGATCATAAAAATTAGAATAGTTTTGTTAAAACATTAACTTTTCCCCCTAATAGTGACATGCTGTTTCCATAAAGTTCACTTTGTGAAAGGAATCCCACTCTGATTAACTAAAATACGTTAATGATACTTTTTTTTTTTTTTTGGCCTTAAGTAAGTTGATAGTGATTGAAATTAAGCCTTTTCTGGTCTTAGGCCAGTTATTCACAGTTAAGAGACTCGAATTCATCTATAAAACATGTGCCTTTTTAGAATATGTATATGCTAATATTTATCACTTTCTCCTGCTTTTCTTTTGATTAAGAATAGAGTAAAATACTAAACTATAGACACACGACTTACATCTTTTCAACATTAGTACTTCTCTCTCAGAATATGGCGGTACAAATGAACACTCTAAATAAACTTACTTTTTATTCAAACACCCCTTCTATTAGAATCGATTTGAATTTTGAGGTACAATGGCATGAAGAATTTTAGGAATTTTTAGTTGCATCCACAAACTGTCTCAACACTATAATACAGACAAATTGAGGATAAGATGTTCTGTGCACATGGGGTTATTTGAACTTAGTATGCAATAAATTTCTTATTTTGCTTTTTTTTATTTTCACTATGATTGTAGTTTACTGAGCAGCCAGGTATACAGAAAAAAGTTACTATGATCGGTATAGTAAATACTATTTAAATTGATATTTGAATAAGTAAATGACTAAAAATGGTTGAAACACACGATTAGCCATAGTACGTATAGAGAGGTACCAAATTAGTAAGTCTATGATGCACTAATTTATTTCAATTCAGTGAAAACTCTTAAGTTAGACAACTTGTTAACAAAAGAAACTTGTTGATGGAATACTGTTATTTTATTCAAACCCTAAACACTTAAGAGGCCTCTTGCACCTACTTGCCATGGGAAAAATCCATTTTAACTTTTTGCTTTTCAATATGCGGTTTTACAGTAGGAATTTCTCTGCAAACAGTATCTTAAGCCAGATTGTACTTTGTTTCAAATGGCTCTTAGAATCCATGCAGCCCTCCTGGCTATACAGAAAATAATGTTTCAAGTACGAAAAAACGCTGTAGAAAACCATGAGATCTGAAAATAAATCCCGCCCCGTCCTCCCGCCGCGTCCTCCCGTCCCGTCCTCCCGCCGCATCCTCCCGTCCCATCCTCCCGCCCCGTCCCCCTGCCTCGTCCTCCCGCCCCGTCCTCCCGCCGCGTCCTCCCGTCCCGTCCTCCCGCCGCGTCCTCCCGTCCCGTCCTCCCGCCCGTCCCCTGCCTCGTCCTCCCGCCCCGTCCCCCTGCCTCGTCCTCCCGCCCCGTCCTCCCGCCGCGTCCTCCCGTCCCGTCCTCCCGCCGCGTCTCCCGCCCCGTCCTCCCGCGCCGTCCTCCCGCCCCGTCCTCCCGCCGCGTCCTCCCGTCCCGTCCTCCCGCCGCGTCCTCCCGCCCCGTCCTCCCGCCCGTCCTCCCGCGCGTCCTCCCGCCCCGTCCTCCCGCCCCGTCCTCCGCCCCGTCCTCCCGTCCCGTCCTCCCGCTCGGTCCTCCCGCCCCGTCCTCCCGCCCCGTCCTCCCGCCCCGTCCTCCCGCCCGTCCTCCCGCCCCGTCCCCCGCCTCGTCCTCCCCCCGTCCTCCGCCGCGTCCTCCCGCCCCGTCCTCCCGCCGCGTCCTCCCGTCCCGTCCTCCCGCCGCGTCCTCCCGTCCCGTCCTCCCGCCCCGTCCCCTGCCTCGTCCTCCCGCCCCGTCCTCCCGCCGCGTCCTCCCGTCCCGTCCTCCCGCCGCGTCTCCCGTCCTGTCCTCCCGCCCCGTCCCCCTGCCTCGTCCTCCCGCCCCGTCCCCCTGCCTCGTCCTCCCGCCCCGTCCTCCCGCCGCGTCCTCCCGTCCCGTCCTCCCGCCGCGTCCTCCCGCCCCGTCCTCCCGCGCCGTCCTCCCGCCCCGTCCTCCCGCCTCGTCCTCCCGCCCCGTCCTCCCGCCCCGTCCTCCCGCCCGTCCTCCCGCCCCGTCCTCCCGTCCCGTCCTCCCGCTCGGTCCTCCCGCCGCGTCCTCCCGCCCCGTCCTCCCGCCCCGTCCTCCCGCCCGTCCCCCCGCCTCGTCCCCCCGCCCCGTCCTCCTGCCGCGTCCTCCCGCCCGTCCTCCCGTCCCGTCCTCCCGTCCCGTCCTCCCGCTCGGTCCTCCCGCCCCGTCCTCCCGCCCCGTCCTCCCGCCCCGTCCTCCCGTCCCGTCCTCCCGCCCCGTCCTCCCGCCCCGTCCCCCTGCCTCGTCCTCCCGCCCCGTCCCCCTGCCTCGTCCTCCCGCCCCGTCCTCCCGTCTCGTCCTCCCGCTCGTCCTCCCGCCCCGTCCTCCCGCCGCGTCCTCCCGTCCCGTCCTCCCGCCGCGTCCCCCGTCCCTCCTCCCGCCCCGTCCCCCTGCCTCGTCCTCCCGCCCCGTCCTCCCGCCGCGTCCTCCCGCCCGTCCTCCCGCCCCGTCCTCCCGCCCGTCCTCCCGTCCCGTCCTCCCGCCCGTCCTCCCGCCCCGTCCCCCGCCCGTCCTCCCGCCCCGTCCCCCCGTCCCGTCCCCCGCGTCCCCGTCCCGTCCTCCCGCCCCGTCCTCCCGCCCGTCCTCCCGCCGCGTCCTCCCGCCCCGTCCTCCCGCCGCGTCCTCCCGCCCGTCCTCCCGCCCCGTCCTCCCGCCCCGTCCTCCCGCCCGTCCTCCCGCCCCGTCCTCCCGCCGCGTCCTCCCGTCCCGTCCTCCCGCTCGGCTCCGCCCTCCTCCCGCCCCGTCCTCCCGCCCGCCTCCGCCGTCCTCCCGCCGGTCCTCCCGCCCCGCTCTGCCAGGCTCCGCTCCCAGCCGCGGTTCGACACCACCCCCCCGCCCCCGCCGCCGGGGCCTCGACGCCACCCCCACCCCGCCGCGGGGCCTTGACACCATCCTCCGACCCTTTTTAGTGGAGTTTTTTGGGTTTTCTACAGAGTCTCATGTCTGCAAATGGTGAAACTTTGACCTCTTCCTTGGCAGTTTGGGTGCCTTTGATTTCTTTCATTGTCTGATCGCTGCGGCTAGGACTTCCAGCCCAGCAGAGCGAGTAGTAATGGGAGTGGACATCCTTGTCGAGCTCCTTCCCGACCTTGGGGGAAAGGCTCTCAGTTTTTCCCGAGAGAGGATGTTATTAGCGGTGGGTCTTTCCCATACGGCCTTTATGATGTCGAGATGTGTCCCCTCTATCTCTCCTTTGCTGAGGGCTTTTATCAAGAAGGGACGCTGTATTTTGTTAAATGCTTTTCCTGCATTTACTGAGAGGATCATATGGTTCTGATCCTTTGTTTTATGAGTGCCGAGTATCATGTTGATTGATTTGAGAATATGGAACCACCCCTGCGGCCCAGGAATAAATACCACTTGATCGTGGTGAATAATTCTTTTAATGTACTGTTGGATTCATTTTGCTGGAATTTTATTGAGAATTTTTGCATCCATGTTCATCAGCGATATTGGTCTGTAATTCTTCTTTTTAGTAGAGTCTTTGGTTTTGGAGTCAAGGCAATGGTGGCTTCATAGAATGAGTTTGGAAATTTTCCTTCCACTTCTGTTTTTTGGAACAGTTTAAGAATAGGTTTTAACTCTTCTTTAAATGTCTGGTAGCATTCCCCTGGAAATCCATCTGGAGGTGTATATTTTAAATGGGGGAAATATACGATATCTAAACTATGTCTTGGTATAGCTGTTAAAAAAAAAACTCCAAACAGATCATGTTTATCCATTAGTAAAACCCTTAGGGATCCCTGGGTGGCACAGGGGTTTGGTGCCTGCCTTTGGCCCAGGGCGCGATCCTGGAGACCCGGGATCGAATCCCACGTCGGGCTCCTGGTGCATGGAGCCTGCTTCTCCCTCTGCCTGTGTCTCTGCCTCTCTCTCTCTCTCTCTCTCTCTCTCTCTCTCTCTGTGTATGACTATCATAAAAAAAAAAACCCTTATATGATGTTATGTCTACCCAGAATAAACTACAAACCTGTATCGTAAGCCTATAGCCTCAAGCATAAATCCTTGTGAGGTCACAACCTTGTCTACCACCCTGATCTTACCTCTTGCAACCCTCCCACGGGTCCAGTTTGTTTCAGCCACGTTGGCTCTGGCCAGTGCTTGTCATAGTCTGAGTTTGTTCTCTTCTTATGATATTTGCATCATACCTATACCTACACCTGGGAGACTCTTCCCCCAGGTCTCCAGGTATTTGCATCCTCCTAGCCCTTTAGGTCTTAGGTTATTTTTAACTTCCTAAGGCAGATTCACCCAATCAAACAGTGCATGAGCCACTCCCTTTCACAATACCACCTTGTCTTCATGGCACTTCTAATGCTGTAAGACAATACTGAGTTGGTTGTATTTATTTCCTTGCGATGTCTTTTTCTCCCACTAGAATTTGAGTTCTAGAAGAGCTGAAATCTAATCTCTTGATCATCACTTTGCAGCACCTGGAAGAGTGCACAGGGTAAACGCTTCTAAATATTTGTTCATTGAGGAATTCTTTACACTTAATTATCTTCCTATATTTATCACCACGAAGCAAATAACAGCTTTTCAAAACAGCAATATGTCCCATTGTTTGTAACCTTCACTCTCACCTTACTCTGCTCACTGCTGAGGAAATCTCAGGATGCTCTGGGGCTAGACCAGTGCCATCCAGAGAGGACGTTTCTCTTGTTCTCACCTGCCTATATCACAGATCTTTCCACTGCTACAGTAACAATGGAAATACTTTATAAACTATTTTTACAAGTATTTAGAGTTTATATTTTGTTACTTATGATATATATTGGTGAAGAATGGACACAGAGCAAGAAATCAGGAAATCTAACTTTTTGCTTACATTCTGTCTCCAAAGGGGTGAAGCCTCATCTGAGTCTGTAAAATACTGAGCTTCTGAAATTCCTTCTTGTTCCAACAACAACAATAAAATATTACAGGAGCATTGCAGAAACAGCAGAGTAAGTGGCACATAGTAGGTACTTAAAAGAGGTATCATAAATAGCTGCATTATTTTTTATAAGCTTAGTTATTCTGTATTAACCAAAAACACCAATATCTCAGTTGCTTAAAATAAAAAGTTTATTTCCTGCTCATGATATAATGTTCATTATAGAAGCCAGGTGGATGAAGGATCTACAAACTGGAATGTGATAGGTCACCAAGGAGGACAAAGAGAAGCTAAGGAATTATGGACCAGCTTTTAAGTTACTTCCTGGAAGCACATCTCTGTATGTACATATGTGAGTTAAAGTACATCACATCACATAGCTTTGACTATCATCAAGAGGTTGGGTAAATTTCAATCCTGCCATGTGCTTGGAAGATAAAAATTGGTAGGATTCTTTAATAAATAAAATAATCTTGAGTCACAGAAAATGCACTGATAAATTCTAACTGAAAAACTGAGAAAAAAGGTCGACACAAATGAAGCCCAAGTAAATTATAACAGATGACTACCATGTCTTAGAAAAAGGTGGAGGAAATGGGGAATGCATACTCACTCCAGTAAGGGGACGTGAAGAACAAAGAGCAGTGTGAAAGTGCCTCATGACCATAGTTTATCCCATGTCAGAAGGTGGAGCTGGACCGTGTTGAGAACTATGGCTACCATGCTAAGGAAGCCTGGTTTTATTCATTGGGAAATGTGGAACTAACTGAATTTATATCAGGGATGTGGATGATCACGTTTATATTTTGAAGAGATGGATGTATGAATGTGATTTTTTTTTCTTTCTTCTTGAGGGAAACAAGAAGTTTCTGGATGCAGGAATACAGACATGAATTTTCTCCAAAAGAATAAGAAGACACATTAGACATGGAAAGGAGAAATATTTTTAAAAAATTAAAAAGTCAGTATAGCTGTAGAACTCATAGGAATGTGAGCAGTAGAGTGTAATTATTGAGAAGAAGGAAACCAGTTGGATATGGCAGCAGCAGTCTTAGTAGAGAAGAAGAGGTAACTGGTGGTACCGATAATTGAGGTCACTTGAAAGTCGGAATGAAGTTGTAAGGAAGTTGTAATGAAGAAGTGGGATTGCCTTGCAAAATATGAATTAGAAGTACTCGTGGGAATTGCACATGGAGTTGTTTAGAAATTATCTAGCAGTTCTAGCATAGAGACCACCAAAAAAAACAAAAAAAACAAAAAACAAAACAGGAATGAAGAAAAAAAAATAAAAAAAAACAAAAGGCAAGCCAAGAGAGATTGTATATATTAAGAAAATGGATGAAAATTAGGTCAAAAGCTGCAGCCATGTCACGTACAAGCTAAGTTTATGAAGAGGCAATTAGAAAATTATTGGCCATTTCTTAGTGTGGGCTTAGGGGAATAGTGAGAGCAGAAGCCACTTGCAATGAAAACACGAGATGACTAAATTGGGGCTGATGACGAAAGCAGATTATAAATCAAAGACGTTTGGCAGAAAGAGACATTAACACATTTCTCCATTGCTCTAAGCCCTCCAGGTATTTCCATCTAACTCCCAATGTAATAAGAAGTTCTTATGATAGCCTGCGTGCCTCTGCCTCAGTCGGCCTTCTGCTAATTTTTTGAACTCATCTTCTCCACTCTTCCCATGATCTTTCACATAAACGTCACCTTCACAAGTAGACTTTCCATGGCCACCTGATTTCAAAGAGCCTACTCTCTCCCGTGACTTGCTATCCCAGCCTGCTCTTTCTTTTGAGTACTTACTACAACCTGACATATTAAAAATGTATTTTTTATCCTCCCTCTCCCCAAATATGAGCTACAGTACAGCAGGAATTTCCTCCGTTTTGTTCAATGCTGTATTCTTATATGTAGAATAGTGCCTGCGGATTCTAGATGTTCAATGAATGTTGGTGAAGTGCGTGTGTGGGCCTCTACGTAGAAAGAGGAATTGGGGTAAATAAAGGTGATCTTGACAGTATTTGTGTGGAGGACTATTTGTGTCAATATGGAGGAATAGACTGATGATACCTTGGAAGGAGACAGTGTAAATGGGCCCTGGGGCAATATACCGTAAGGGGGGATGCAGAAGGGGATTATAGCAAGGCAACAGGTCAGGCATAAACCCCAGAAAGGAAAATGAGGATTCCTCCATCTGAAACTTTAGAGAATGGAAAGCATAGATAGTAATGAAAATAAAATTTGAAAAAGACAATTGGAACCACTGGTTCTTCAACGGTGAAGAAGAATTCAAGAATTCTTAGGCTAGAGGGAAGGGAGAGGCTTGACAAGAGCTGGAAGAAAGGCACATTGGCCGTGCTGCTTGGAGTGAAAATAGAAGACGTGTAGATTTTCTGGAGGTCAGTCCAGGGCACAATTCTTTTCTCTTCGTCATACTTGCCTTGCAAATTGTTTTCAGTGTGATTGATCATCCTTCCATTTGCATTGTTTAAGATAAAATTTTACTCCACTAAGTTCTTCAAATATAGTCTATTATTTTTTAAGATAGGCTAATATGTGATGTCAGTATATTTTACTCACCAAAATAAATATATGCATGTGATATATATATATACCCTGATGTATATACATACATATATCCTGTATGTGTATATGTATGTGTGTGCATATATGTAACTGTATATGTATATATTTTGGATATGTACACATGTGACTATGTGCATATATGTAAATATATGCATGTATATATGTAAATGTGTGTGTGTCTTCAGTATACAAGATCAAATTAACTGGCCTTTGGTTTTCTTAGAATTATCTAGTCAACTTGCAAGAATTTAGTATCTTTCTATCTTGAAACTGAATTTTCCAGTTGATTCCTGGCAGAAACCATCATCATCTGTTAAGAATGAAAGCTGTTGTTTAAGTGTTAACAGACGAGACCACGGAATATTTATCCCCCTCTGATGATCAGCTGCTTTACTAGATATTGTCGTTCTTTTTTTTTTTTAAACAATTCTGACATTAGAAAGC